AGGAAAAGTGCATTTATGGAATAGAAATCTTTACATCTTTCCAAGGAAACAGAATTGGGTCTGTTTTGAAGGTGCTGTCGTACATAACATGCCAATGATACTGGTATATAAAAGAGGTCCTCACCACAGAGAATATAGAATTAATAATAGAGTGTTCCAGTCTGTAGGGAATCTGCAATTGTAAGGTGATGGTTACTGTATAGTTTGGAAGCAATGATACCTCAAGGTATTGTCCATATCTGGGACTGCATTTTGTGAATGCAGTCTGAATAATAAGCATATTCTGTTTTGGCAGTAGTCCTACTGCTGCAGCTTTAGGATTAACCTGTGTGGAATTTTGTTCTTGCCATGGTGAATGCTTGACAGTTTGAGCTTACTTAGCTACAATGATGGAACACAAATGGCTGTATCATTCAAATGCAGAGGTGGTTTTTAATTAGTCATTCATGTCAACTATTGTTTTCTAAGTTCTTATTTACAGGAAAGAACTAAATTTATGTAAACAGTGAAATTTGTTCATCATGTATTATATGAAGGGAGCATAAGAAGGTTTTTCTGTGAAATAATTAAACAATATCTTGCAGTCCTTTTTTATGTTATTTTAATAATTTTTTTTAATTATTTTTTCAACTGTAGATCAGTAAAAGTTTTGGCTGTCATCTGTTCTTTCTTGTAAAACTCACAGTTTGCAAAGGCAGTTGCCCTTTCTAAAATAAGAAAACATTTTGATGATACACAAATGCTGTGCTTTGACTTTTTAGTATCCTGTGTGTTTAGAATTAAGATGTGCTTTGGGAGACATATAGCAGTTATGGAACATCTGCAGTTTTGAAGACATGGTTGTGAGGGGTAGAGGAAAGTGCAGAACAATACTTGCTCTGAGTTTAGGAGTTGAGGCACTCATCTGTAACCAGAGAAACTCCTGGCCAGTTATGGATGTCAGATGTTTACTTATATGGGATGTGAAATAATGTGCCATGTTTAAGAAAATTACTCCGCAAGTTTTTTATTAGTATGCCTGGTGTGAGAATTCCACTACTAACGCATATGATTTTTATAATACTACAGTACGTGTTGCATCATGTGTTTTGCGTATGAATTTAGTTTGTCCTTACAGCCATTCAAGTGCAGTGGGGAAACTGAAAGATGAAGTGAAGGTATTTGTTTCTGTGGTCTAGAAGAATCAAAATCATGGGTCAGTGTTCTGTGGCTTTTGGGTTCTGTCAGGTGGTTTGGTAGGAACCTTCAGGTGAGGCTTGGCCTGTGGGAGGGCTTTGTTGCTTGTGTCTGGAGGGAACTAGCTCTCTAGGAGGAGGAGGCGGGAGAGAAAACTCTTGTCCTTCTGAAGAGTTGCGTACTTTGCTGCCCCAGGTGACAGTGCCAGTCTTTGTCCAGAGCCTGTCACAGCCATTGGGCTCTTCTGGCTCAAATCACACAATTTGTGTATGGATTCTGGGCTAAGTAATGTTTCTTCAGGTTTGGTACTTTGCTTATCTTCTGTGAGTCAAGTTGAAAGGCCTGTTACCCAGGAGGGTTTTCAACTGCTACGTATCTATGGAAAAACAGGTTATGTTGAATTTCAGAATCTGGGAATAGGTTTGCCCATTAGAAAAAATAAATGAATGTATATACCCTTTTTTTAGTGTGTGTTGTTTCATTTGTTTTTGTTTTTTTTTTTTTTCCCCCTCCAACTACATCCCATGTATTTTTCTGTGTACTTTTTTGATCTAGATTCTTCAGAACTGGGTTTATTTCTCCCTTCCAGCATGGAAAGTAAAGGTATATTGTTCTTACTGTCAAAACAAAATAAACACAAGATGAAATTTATGTTTAAATTTGTTTTTGTGAGTTTGTTTGAATGCTTGTCAGTGCCTTTAATCCCCTTTAGTCCAGTCTAAATAAACTGCAGGTACTACACAAGATACATGTTCCATAAAAGAACAGAAGAGTTGCTAAGGGTATGCCACAAACTGTATTTTCAGATGCTGGAGTACAGTCTGTTGACTCCTCATGTTTTGTGAAGGGGTAAAATTATATATAAAATACAAGCTGATATTCTAAAATACTGATCCAGTTTTGCATAACCTAGTTTGATGAAGTTGGTGCTTGCTTGAAGCTAGACAGATGCTGTATAAAGATGAAAAACATGGTCAACCTACCTTGTAGTAGTTTGTACAGGTGAGCAGAGCCTTATGCATTCCAAAAAACCCATCTCTAGTTTTGGGTGGGGGAAGGAGAAAAAAGAAGGTGTTTTGTTTACACTTACCTGCTGCTGGGTTCTTGGGGGCCCAAAACAAACAGTACAACACAGTTCAGTTTAGAAACAGCTAGGTTATGCAGCTGTAACCTAGGATACAGCTAGGTATCTTGGCTTTCCAACATTTACAGTTCATGCTCCTCTGAGCTCATTAGTTACATTTTAAGCCGTCTGTTGGACAACAAACACTTACGATGGTAGTTCAAAAGACTTGTACATTTATGGAGTAACAGCGCTTTTAATGATACTGCAATTAGTGAAAATATCAGAAGTAAAATTTGAGCATGGCTTTCAAGGGTTGAGCACTGGCTGGGTGAAAACATCTGTGATAGTAAAATATTTCATTTTTGAAGTGGCAGTGCGTTGAAACTGAGATCAATATTGTTTCTTAGCCTCAATATGAAACTAAATGTGTATAATTCTTTGAAAGCTGTATGGGAAGTTAATAGAATGGTGAGATTGTAGCAGAATAAAAAATTATCTGTGGCTAAGCCATTAGCAGAAAGTAAAAACCCTTTAAGGCTGTTCTGGAGAAGTACAGTTGGATGCAACATTATTTTTCTGTAACTGAGATACATCTCTTTTTCTTTCTTTCTCAAAGCTAATGTACAGATACTCAAATTAGGTAGCAGTTCTCTTATTAAAAACAAAAAAAAAATGGAGAAAAGAACCTGAAGCAGATAACATTTCTTCATACCTCTGTTAATGCAGGTATTTTATGTAGTGTTGTTCCCACTGGGTGTCGCCGTTTTACCTGCCTTTAGCCAGTGAGTGCGTAGGATTTTGCAGCTACTTGGGCATTTCATCAGTATCTAGTGTAATCTGCTCTGCTTTTGAAAATAATCAAAAATTGCTTTCCCCAGCCTAGTCTTGTTCTGAAGTAAGTAGTGACTAGGAAGGAACATAAAGCTCAACTGGGTGTTGATAGCTGAATAACTATGCATAATATGCATCTTGTCTGTAAGGCTGTTACTTTGTGGACAGTACTAGATGTTTAACACTTTGTGAGTGAGGAAACTTCTGTTTACAAAGTGCAATAGGTCCTGGTGTTTTGTCCTTCAAGCCCCTCAAGACATGTACTTATCGTGGATTATAGTATAATTAATTGGTAGCAAGTTTTTCATTACTTCGTTTCTGTGTGTCAGCATTAACCAGTCTATACTGAGCAGACTACTGAAGATCAACAAAGTAAGAGAGTTACTTCTGAAACTGCAAAATTAGAAGAATAAAAATAGGATACACCCATGCATTCCTCTGGATTTGGTAGGTGTGTGTTGTTTCCTACCCACAAAGATAATAGGGGGCCTGCTCTGACTGCTGTGAGAGCCTAATTAGAGCACTTGTGGTTATAGCGGTAAAGTTAAAATATATGTATTATTTATTCAAAGACTTAATTTATTTACCATTGTTCCCATCCCCCACTTCACTCCCTGCCCTCACTTCCAAATGACAGCAGCATGCAGTATGGGTTGAGAATTTATTTTCAAGGACAAGAAGCACTAAGAAGTGATAAGTAAAGTAACTGGGATAGTACATTGGTTAAGACTTTTGCGATGGTTACTATTTTGATGTAGCTTGTTTCCTGCCTGTAGTTCAGTGGTCTTTTCTGGTATGGTAGAAAGTAACAATACTAGACAGTACAATGCCATAGACTGTTTCAAAGCAGTTAGGAAGACTGTATTACAGTAAACATTTTGTTGCTATCAGACATTCTTCTATCATCTATTTCCTTTACTGTTATTTTCCACCATCTCTCTGAGAAGAATCTCTTTCTTTTGTTGGTTTGTTTGTTTGTTGGTTTTTTTTTACATTTTTACATGAGCTGAATTCCCTTTTAATTGCTTTTCTCTGCCTTAATCTACATAATTAGGTTGGGCATTTGCTTAAAAAGTGTTAGTACAGTAGCAGCTCCCACTCAGAAACACCTGTGTCTAAGCAGACCTAGAGAGAGAAATTCTTATTTTCTCATCCCTGATTTAAAAGAAGAAAAAAAAAAATGGAAAAAAGGCCTTGATTAACAGCATTAAGGACTGAGGAGAGCTTTCTTGTAAGCAATTTAGTTATAATTCTGGCATACTTTTGAAAATCCATAAAAGAATTCTCTTAGGAGTAAGACTAATAGACTAAAAATCTTGAATGCAGCCTGGATTTTTGTACAAACAAAAAAACTTGTTTCCTTGGTTATATATATCAGCCCTACCAAATGTCTGCTTTAAGTGTGGTAGAAAATAAACATGTAGTATATGATGCAACTAGTCTTCTGGTTTTTGGAGATCTCTTTTGGGCTGGCAAATGCAAGAAACGTTTCTGAAAATCAAACCAGTCATGAAAGAGGAGTTAGTGAACTAGGTGCTGCAAATTAACAATTTTGTCTTATAACAATATTAGGTATGTAAGTAATACAGTAATTTCACTTACTGTTTCAGAATGTAATGGGAAGATGGTTTATTGACAGCAGGAAAAGTAGCATTAAAAAGCAAAGTAAGTATGCGTTTATTAAGCATACAAGTAAGGGTTAGTACATGACATACAGAATTCAGATGTGTTATTTGGCGCTATTTGTCAGAGGTGTGAAAACAAAGGGCAATTATTCAGGGGCTTTGCTGAGACTTTGGGAAGGTGGGACTCCAGCCTAAGATCCTGTGGCAGACTCATGCTGCTAAAATGCCTGGCCTCACTCAGTTCCAGTGAGGGGAATCCAGCCTCCCCTACTTCATTTTTTTTTTTTTTTTTTTTTTTTTTTTACAATCAGCAGCAATTTGGCCTTTGTGGGATTGAGACTGATCCTATTTCAAGACCTCAGAGACTGAATTTCATAAAGACAGTTAGGCAGCAGGGAGACTTCAGTGACAGAAGCTGGTGTAAAGGTTAAGTAAATTTGAATATTTTGAGTATTGTGAAGGAAGCTCAATTAATGTTTGATAAGATGCCATGCAGTAGCACGTTCAGGTAACTGAGTTGTGTCCAAAACAGGACTTGAGGCTATTCTTCACTGTAATGTTGGTATGAAAGATACGTAAGCTAGCAAATACTTAATCTTTTAAATCCTTAATTTCTGAGATTTTTTTCCCTGTGTTTCCTTTAGTTCCTGTTGTTCTATTACTTTTTTTTTTTTTTTTTTTAAATCTGTTCCTCAAGCCCTCCCCATTCCTTTGTCCCCAGAGTGTTGATAGTGCTTATGATGTTACTAAACACCTCCAGGGGAATTTTTAAGCATGAACTCAAGCTGCTCGTTTACCTCGTTAAAGAATCTTGTTTAATATTGCAAATGAAATGATGTATAATATTTAGGCATATTTAAAAATTTTACTTCTCATATAAAGCCTGCTGCAAAATGAATGACAAGTAAATCTTTCCTCTTACTGATATGTAAATAGGTGATCTGAAAATTGCCTGGGTACGTGGTGCTTGGGTTTCTTAGTTGTCATTGAAGCTGATGTGCATATACAAGGTTATTTAAGTAGCCCCGTGGTTTTTCAAAGGTAGCAGTGAACTGTGAAACATGCTGGCCTTGCTGGGGTTTGGAGGTTTGGAAGTTGTACACCTGTGGTTTAGGGTCTGCCTAAGGCTGGGATAAGATACACATCACCTTTGTGACCGTTGCTGTGCCCTGGAGTTTCTACATACCTTCCCTCACACAGTAGAAAACAGACAAATATTAAAACTTCCAGCAAGGTATGCAACAAGCCAGTGGCTGAGCAAGCTGTGACTGAGCAGTGCACTAGTGCACTCTCTGCGAAGGACACAGTGAAAGAGGCAATCTTAGTTATTTTTTCATTCATTCATGGTTTTTTTTGTTCACCACACTCAGTGGTGCTGAGAAATTTCATTGACCCAGATTTTGCTCATTATCTTTTAAGATTGAGCTGGTAATTTCACCACTGTGACTCTTCTGTGCAATCTGTGTGGAGTTGGCTTCTCTGTCAAGATGAGTCTGTGCTGTTGGCAGAATGCTGGATTATACTTTTTCATCCCTGCAGTAGAGCTGTAATAAAATATTAACTGAAGGTTTTTCTTTGCATTCTGTTACTGTGTGATTAGATCAAATTTCAGAAGAGCCTCTTTTGGTCCCTGCTTATCTTCTTCTAGTCCTTGGTCTTTGGACATCTTTTTCTTTCTTACTGTATCTTCATGTTTTTCTTTTGTTTTGTTCTCGTCCCTGTCTTTTGCCAGTGCCATGTATCAGTTATGTGGAGATCTTTGAGTTTAATCTTTTTTTGGTTGTTTGTACAGCCAGCTTCCTTCTTATGCCACTTTGATCATTATTCATATGCATTAAAGCAGGAGCCGTAAGTGCAGTCATGCAGGTTTTGAAAGACCCTTCTGTGAAGCTTGAGCTGTAAGTGGGGCTGCTTGGTTACTTTGAACTCCAGCAACAAGTGGGTTGCAAAAGAAATGAGAAACTTTCTATTTTAATGCCTAGAAACTTACTTTTATATTTCTCTTTTAGATAAGGATTTTTGCTGTGGAGAGTCACAAAGACAGAATTTAAATAAAATCATTCTGGACCTTATTGAAGGAAAAAGGTGATACCCTATTGACTAAACTAGGACCTGTATCTTCTGACAAACTCTTATGAATTCCTTCTGTTCTTTAATTAGGAAAGTCGATATGATCAATCAGCAAGAGAATTAGTACTGTTCAGATATTTAATGTACCCTTTTTTATCTTTGAATTTTACATGTTTTTAAATGATTGTGCATTTGCTTCCCCAAAATAATTAAACCAATGTTTTGCTACTTGGAATGATACGAATAAAACCAAGAAGAGTTAAAAATACTGATTGAGAAGTGTCTTGAGCTATAAAAACTTGTATTTCCTGTTGTGTATTGTCCTTTCTCAAAGGGCATTTGTGCTTGTTTTCATTTCTGCAAAGGTGAACAGGTGGGTGGAAAACAGATTTGATTTTCTTTACTTTACTAGGAAACAGGAAAGTTGAAATGCTGTTGAAATTCCTCCAAATCTTTGAGGTTGCACAATGTTTTCTTGACTACTGAAAAAAAACAAAACTAATAATGCAAATAGTTTGTTTATTTCATATTAGAAGTGCCTGGATGCCTACCCAGTGGTCTTACGGTGTGTGCTGTGAGCAGCATGTGATTTCTCAGACAGGAGATCTTGCTGTCTCACAAAATGCAGGTGAGGAGGTGCACAGATGCTGTGCCTGAGCAAAGTGTTTAAATGGGAGTTGTGATGACTTCCTGCTCTGGAGACTGGTAGAATCGTGGGGGGTTTATTCAAAGTATCTTGAAATCTTTGTAAAAGGTTTGGGTAAGGTTGGGGTCACTATTCAGTGTAACGGGACAGATATATTTACATTAACAATTCATGCATCAAAGGATTCGTTTTGGTGAGAATTTGCCTTGCAGCTCCCTCAGGGATTCTGCAGTACATCCTCACAGTCAGCACTCTCTGTTTCAAGCTGTTGCCCTCCTAATGAAATCTAAAGCACCCAACTTGTAAAAGGGATGCGAATTTCTCCAGCCATTCAATCTCTCCATGAGTGTAATGTGCCTGGGACTGCAAGTGGTGCATGCTTTGTTGTTGGTTAAAGATGTGACGTGCATTTGTGGTCCTGGAAGCACGTTGGATTGCAGCAAATTATACCCTGCACCTTCTCTGTTTGCGCTATGCCAAACAGTGGTGTGGAGGCACATGGCAAATGTGGTTTCCTGACACAGTCAGGATAGCCTTCCCAGCTTGTAGGTGGGACCCTTTCCAAGCTTCAGGTGCAGAAACTGAACGTCACTGCTAGGCCTCCAGTTTTGGTAGCATACTTTAGGAAACACCTTGTACATTTAAGAAGCGAGCAATAAAGATGAACATGGTTTCTGTGAGGAAGGGCTTCTGTGTCTGACTTCTTAGCAAAGTCACTTAGAAAATCCATAGGTGCAGGGCCCTTCCAGATAAAGCAGATAAGGGGAATTTTTGGAGTAGGACAAATGTAAACATTAGGTGGAGTTGGGAATTGGTGTGGATATGAGTGGCTTCAGGTGTGAGCAGGCATGTCCGGACTCTGCATACAGGAAGTCACATGTCACTTCTGTCTGCACTGGCTGCTATCTTTTATCTCTGGTGCCTAAGCGGAAGGTAAGAAATAAGAAAGGGCAGCAACACATTTATGATGCACTGAGAAGAGTCAGATTCTGCTGAGCTTGGTCCCACTGCCTTCATCACACACTCGTTTCCTCCCAAAAGAACCAACCACATCAACAGCCCTGGACTAGAGAGAGAGCAACGAAGTGGTGGTCTTTGGATGTGGTGCTGCTGGTCACTGCCTCAAGCTTGCTGTCCTGGGCATGGGAAAGTCCCCATGCTCCAGGGATCCAAATCCAGCAAGATTTTTGCTTGGCCTATTGTGGTGATGGAGGAGAGAGTAAATGTTTCACTTTGTGTGCCAGATTTTTGTCTTGCCTCTGAAAGCTATTTTGCTTTTGGCAGGAGCTCTTCCAGGGCTTGTGAGAAGTCTTGGGCTGGCTGTTCTGAGCCAAGTCTGGCAGAGTCACATAACTTTACTTCAGATGAGATGTAAGGAGTCTACTCCATCAGCAGAGCTAAAGGGGCTAAGATGAGATTAAAGCATGTCTTGCCTGGATGTACATCATACCATGAGGTTGATGTGCCTTGCTTCAGACAGAGGAAACTCAAGAGTAACGTTTGAAAAAGGTAGGGGAAGATTTCTGCTCATCAGCCAGGCTGTGCCCATTTTCCTAGCTGTATACATTCTGCAGATATATAACAGAACGTGTAAGTGATGCTGATGGTTTTCTATTTGAAACATGGTTTATGATCAGTTACCTTGAATGAAAGCTGGTTTCGTTGGCTGACTTTTATATTAAATGGTTCTGGAAGATAAAAGAATGCAATCTTTAGCTCCTTTGTAGCAGCTCAAAATTATTGATAAGTTCTACATTACTCCTCCAAACTTGTCACCTGGCTCTACTTATGAAACTGTTTTCTTGCATTGTGTTATGGAGTCCAAAATATTATGGTTTTCCTGTGACAAACTGTGCTAGCAGAAGCCTGATATGAACTGATATAACAATTTCCTCCTTGTTTTGAAACTTATTTGTTAAATGTGTCTTGTGAAACAAGCTGTGTTGAGAAGCACCTATGTATCATTTGGATGATACCTGGGTAGTGAAATCTTGATCATCTGTGGTAATTGCCTTCTTTCATAACTCTTGCAAGGGGAATAGAGAATTCGGCTTCCTGAACACAGTTCAGTGTGATCATACTGTTCTCTAAATTAGTATTTCTTTCAGATGGTAGCACTCTCGCCTTCCTGTCTGAAATTATAAGGTTGTATTAAATATATATTCAACAATTAAATGTATATACACAATATATATACACAACATATATATGTATATTGAATGTATATTTATATACATTCTGTTGCACAGACGTTTATTTCAGTAAGAAGGTTGTTAATTCATAGATCGTATATAACATAAGGAGTAATAAAAAGCTATGCAATTCTCATTAAAAATGTTAGGAATGCAAGTAGTTAATGTTTACCTGAGTATCACAGGCAAAACAGAAACTAACTTTTTGAGATTCCCATTTGAATTTAGGCCACAGTGGGAAGGTGAGGTTGAGTGCTACAGAGTAATCAACGATGATAAATGACAATTAGAGAAGGAAGCTTTTCAGAATGAGATTTGACAAAACCTGTTTGAGGGAACAAGTCAAACAAATATCTCTTGGTAATTTACTCTTGGCCCTGCTTTTATGTGGTGGTGTAGGCTGGGTAAGGAATGAATGGTGGTGAAGGTGAATAGGTTACAAAGCCAGGAGTTTTCTGCCATTTAAGAAGGCAGATGATAGAGAAGGAAGGGGAAAAAAAAAATTAAAAGCCAAGAATTAAAGCTGGAGAAGGAGGACAGAGAGTAAAACTGCCAAATGACAGAAGTACAAGCACCTCAAGCAGCAGCAGTTGTAAATGGGAAAGTAGGAAGTATGTACTGGTTCAATTGAGATCATGAAGACAAAGAGTGAGGCTTTGTTGTCTTGTAGGACTGACTAGTACCTTGAGAAATGAAGGAATTAAGCAGGAGGAGGAGGTCATAGGTTGTGATTGCCGACATTTATATAGGAACCCTTGTGAGAGAGGAGGAAGAGCTGTGAACAACGGAAGGAGCAGTCCTTGCGGGAGCCAGAGTGGGTACGAGGGCACCCATATACAAGATAAAATAGGGCTGGGAGTAGCAAAAGAGGCAGAGATCCCAAGAACATGGTTCAAAACTGCCAGTGGGCAGTGAGGGCTGGCAGCTACATGGGGGCTGCAGGACACCCCACGGGGCTGGCACTCCCAGGCATCAGGCGCCTCCCTGGAGCCTGGGGATGGGGCTGTGGCTGGGATGGGATATCTGCCCATCAGCAGGTGAGGGTCGGAGTCAGACACAGCCGTGTGATGGCAAGGCAGGGCTATGGTGATGTGCGCTGCTACAGACAGTTGTGAGAGAGTAAAATGGGGAAGGCAAGATGTTTTATTTGTGGTTGTTAAGATTTTGAATATGACGAATATTATTTATGACAAATGTCATAAACATCCATAGGTTTTGTTACACTGTTGTATTTATCAATGTAAACTGCTGTCTTTAAATACTATTTAGAAGTGCTAAGAATGTGCAAACAATTAGAAATGTGAGATAAAAATATAGTGGTGATATTTGTAGCTTCAGGAGGTATATACTTATCTTGCTCACCGTATTTATGAAAAGCTGTGTCCTACTATTGCATATGATGCCTAGTGGTTCAGCAATACAAAGAAAATAGTTTTCTGATAAATTTTTTTTTTCTTTTCGGTAACTAATATTTCACAATTATGATAAAATACTCTGCATATCGTTTGGAAATAAGGAGGTTGAGCTTCGGTATTTAGTATTAGGCTTATTCTCTAATCATTGCATTAATACGTCTCACAAAACACACTTGCTCTAGCAAATTTCCCTAAATGTGGTGCTTGGAAGTTGGTCATGTATTCACTTGCAGTGTGAAATTGAAGCTATTCCTTTGGGCTTAATTTTACTCAGAAATGTTCTGACATCATTAATAATGTATAAGTGTAAATCTTACATTAAAAGAAAGCCATAGACCAGGTCACTTCTAATCTGCACAATAAATCCTACATGGCAATTAGTATTACAATAAGCATGTAAAAATGGGGGAAGGGGGAGAATATATATGTGCTGAATTTTTGGAGGCTAGATAACCTTTTTATTGACATAGCCCAGTTCAATTGAAGATGCTTATTCTGTCATGGTTTTTAGAAATTGGTTTTCTGTACTAAAGCTCACACTACTGCTGTAAGAATAGAAGAAGGGGTAATGGATATTAGGTTGTGGAAAACTAAGAAAATACTCTTTAGACAAGACTCTTTTAGGTAATTGTGATCACTCGCACATGTGACCATCTCTCTCTGGGTCACTTTGGGCAACTTTTACTGTATATGAACAAACTCTCCAAGTGGGACATGTGCATCCGAAGAGTACAAAGCAACTGTTTATTGGTTAGCAAACAGATGGTAGGATTTAATGAACTGCTAGACTAGGCATCAGTGTACGTCCTGTGCAAGACAAGACACCCGAGATTCTTTGCTGCCAGGCAGCCATGGATGAGGTGGAGGAGGACCAGTCTCCTCTGTTCCCTGAAACAGATCTTCATCACTTCTGGGTTGCTGTCTGCCACCTTCTTGCTTTTCTTTGAGATTTGATCCCTTTCCAGAGAGGTGTTTTTCAACCTGAAGCCTTAAGCTGGTAACAAATCCAGTGTCA